AAGACAGCGATCACTGACTGGACGCTAAATCTGGGAACGTCTGGTGGTTCTGATGCGCATCACTTGTCCCCAGCCAGATGCCGGTTGCCCTTCACGAACACTAGACGTTCCAGGTTGGCATCTGAGAGGGTAGCCCTTTTTGCACTTAGCACGTCTTTTCCCATCGAGAACATGCGCTCGGCGCTTGAAGGGACGCCCTTGCTGAAATTTGCGAATACATGCTGCAACGCCAGCTCCTTCCGCGGGAAGGCCAGGTCACTGAGGCCACCTTCTTTCTTCAAGACAACTTCGAGCCAAATTTTTATTAAAGCCTTGGCCACATACTTCTCTATACTCGTATAGAGAAGAAGCCTGTAGAAGTCTATATATAGATAAGTCTGTGCCTTGGCACTTGACCTGCTTGAACTGTGACTGGTCTCAGGTTTACTAAACCTAACACATTAGAATACGATAATGAACTTAAACTTCGCTGCCACATTACTAATGTCTGTGGGTTAGTTGAAATATTAACCCGTTCGGAAAACGAAAAGTAACGGAAGAACGGAGGAACGAAGGAACGGGCTTAACTGTAACGGAGGAACGAGCAACCAATGTAACGGAAGTTACTTGGTCCGTTACCCTTTTTAAAATGTAACGAGTCCGTTCCTCCGTTCCTAAGAATTGTAACGGCGTTCCGGAACGGAGGAACGGAGGAACGGAGGAACGGATCGTGCCCACCTATGACGCATCGACGACAGAGGCGCTGTCGGTAACGTCTGACGCCAGTCTGTCGGTGCCAGCGACAGCTGCTCCCGAACAACAACTCCAGACTGGAGGAGCACTGTTCACACGCAGGCGGTCACACTCCAAAGTCCCTGTTCACAGAGCGGACTCAGTTCCCGCCGGCCAGCCGCCGCTCTGGCTCGGGAACGGTTCGGCCGCTCCACCAGCTGTCGGAGCGCCTCTCACCCAGACTGCTCGGGTCAAACGGACTCTGCGGCCATTACCGGCCAGTCAGAGATCGGGGGCACATCGGCGGACTGATCAGATACACCTCACAGCGCCGAACGGCCGCCGATGGAGACGGAGAGGCCGCCGATTGAGACGTCAGGGGAAGTGACACAGCGATTAAGCTAATCGAAGCACCACTGTGGAACTCGGCACTAACCCACGCCCACGCGCGCCGTTGGAGGTCCGATTGAAACGTAATGGGGAGGGTGCGTTCTTACGCCACTTCATGATTCCGCCCTCGGGCCACGTAATAGAGCTAAACAGCAAGTGGAATTCATCGGGTCATCAGGTCATGAGGTCAAGCTTGTTGAGAACATAGTCGAATCAAAGGTCAAGTCACCAGATGACATCGAAAGTCTTCTGGTGACTTTTCTGATGATGCTTTGGCAATACGGCTCGAGTACCAGTAGCGGCGGAACACCCTCAATTAAGGGGGGCACTGCCGACTTTTGGTCCCATTCTTTCCATGCAACGCCCATAGGGCTAATGTTAAAATGCCAAAATCAAAGGGGGCACGGTGCCCCAGTGCCCTCCCCGTTCCGCTGCCTGTGTCGATTACTGGCACCAAAAATGAACTAACCGCCCAGGTCAAATTCATGACCGAAGCGGAAAGGTCACGTCACCCATCAGTCGATCAGTATTCCACAGGTGTCTTCATGACTGTGCCGTGCGAAAAAAAGTAAAGTAAGCAAGTACGTGCGAAGTGCCGAAGTCATGCTCTTGCATACGGGTACCTATTGTAAAAACTTACGAGCGAAATGAACAAACCGTTCTCCTCGCCGATTGTTCAGTGGGCGCGCTGGCTGTGAATTACTCGGGCATATTCTTGGCAGACCACAACAACAAAAAGATCAATAAGCACCACATAATGGCTGTTTTTTTTAAAGCGGACGTGTCCCATAATTGCAGCGGCTGTTCAAGCACCAATCGTAAGCTTTCACCAACTTCTCAGCAAAAGCGAAATTAGAAATAACTGTGTGCAAGCCAATCATTGCCATTTCCTATATGAATGCCCAATGCCCCAGCGATCAGCGTTCGGTCCTACCTATATGTAGTTTGCAACGAAAAGGCGAGCACTACGCACCCGCACAATACGACGGAAGGAATGCCGCGGAGCTAACTGGACACAAATTGGGCACACAGTCCGACAAGAGTTCCGAGAACTACGAAGGCCGACTCTTGGGTTTGACGTGACGAGAGCAGGTGTCCTGGAGGAAGAGTGGACCCTTGCACCCGTCCTCCACCTCCTTGTCCGGATAAAAACCCTCTAAGGGTGACGATAGAAAAATACCCATTCGAAATGTTGTATAGTTGTAGGCCGTCCTCAGGCCCTTATGACCTTTAGCAGGACGGGAGCTGGTGGTTCGCCCTGTTATGATAACGCTTTGTCCCGTTCTCGGTATGTCTTGTATTCGAGGACAGCTGGACACGGTACAGGCTCGGTGAGGCCCGCGCCGACCTCTGTGTATTCCCATGGGACACTCACACAGGGTACAGACGGCGGACACGGCGCGTCACTCCCTGTCACAGAACAACTCCAGGCCCGCCGCTGACTGTTGTGTCTCTGTTTACCACCCGATACAATTCCCGGCGTCAGGCGCGCATTATACGCGCACACACGGACGATGCACCTCCGGCAGTGACGTACCGGGCGGGAGCGGTACAAAAGGGACTGACGTGCCGCCCGCGGCTGTACTGACAGGTCGCCGGATACACCGGGGACGATGACACCCGGGGCTGTATATATGGGAGCGCGGCAATGCAGGCTGGAAAGGCTGTTCACCTGAACCGAAGCTAATCATATACAATAAACATATACATAGAGATCAGGGACAGTCAAACAACTACTTACTATGTATGCATCAAATTAATATAAGCATGTATGTATAAACAGCCTACGCGGCATGCCATGGTGCATGGCGTGCAAAAGCTTTTCAGTAGTTTAAACGTCGCAGAAATGTAAAAAAAAAAAACGTTTTTAACGCTATTACAAATGGTTGTGCCTCCTATAAAGTAAGTATGAAGCTGATACTTTATGCCTACCGCTATGTGGAAAGACAGATTATGCCACCTATAAAAAGGGACACTATCAAGCAGGTGTGCTTCTTTAGTCCGCAACCACAAGCATACGATAATGCCAGTGCTAGAGATGCAGAGCTCTCAGCGCGCCCTGCGGAATTAGGTCTATAAATGGTTCAGGTGTGAGGCACTGGCAAGTGACATGGAGAATGGGACGGGTGGTATCGGTACAGAAAGGAAAGGAAGTGTCTTACTCTCTCTAATGTCTGAAATCTGAAACGAAACAGCGCTTATTTGCTTGTTCTTTCTTATGCCACTTTAGAACGCGCCGACCGGAATTCATTTGAAAGTGAATGAGTTGAGGATATGGGCAATCCTTTTGGGAATGTAATAGGCCCGCAGCCCCGAGACAGCCTTTCCGAAAAATCAACTTTTCTGACACGACAGCTTTTCTTCAGGAATGACTTGCACAACGCAAATCTAGATTACATCATACGCCACGTTTCTTAGATCAAAGCTCTCAGGAGCCGTGCAGACAAAGCTAGGCCGAGGGGTTTTGAAGCTCAAAAAGATCCGACTTCATAGCTAAGACTTAAAATGATACGCTAAGACACAAATATATGGAATATCTTACGGCGGTAGTGTTTGAAATGGGATTCACTGTCTGGATATTGTGAACGGAGCGTGTCATTTTCGGGAACGCCGTTCAAAGTAGCCCGAGCAGCGGACGCGTTCATGCTCTTCTGGTGATTTAGTGAGGACAGCACGGCAGGTATAATCCAAGAGGTAGGATGCGATCTGGCTTTACAATTAAATTCCTCGTGCAGACTTATGCCATTTACTTATGTGCCAGTGTTAAGAGCGTATTGCTCGGTGCAGCATTGTTGTCCAGCCGTCCTAGCATTTGCTATGTACGACTCAGGTATGGCAGTGCATCATGACTTGGGCACACCGTTAACTAAATATAGCCAGATCTACATGTGTTTTTAGGTATGTGCGCTCCAGGTGGTGAGGGAGGGCTGGATAGACCCCCTTCGTCAATTTGTCAATCATTAAGCTACAGCTTTCCTATCCTATGAAACAACCGTCTCAGCCGTCAGGACACAAAGCGACTGAAAATCTTTACTTTCTCATGTCTTAGGTCAACCAGTGACCTTTGTGGGTAGGTCAAAGAACGGGCTCCGGTAACTATTGGCAAATAACAGAACGAACGGGCGCAGATCCAGGATCCTGGTAGACACCACTGCGAGCGTTATAGAGACGCGTTGAATGACATGATAGGTACATACCTATCTTGTTTAGGAAAGGCCTTCCCAAATGGCAACCAAAGGGCAAGATCAGGTCAGGTCAAAGTCGGTTGGAGGTTTATTCAGGTAGGTCGCGTTGCACATCCCATGACCCAGCGCCTATTCAGTTTATTGGTGCCTTTCCCGACTCGTTACCTCAAGTTAATGAGGAGTTGCTGACGACACCTACCTGTACCTACTTGATGACCTCAAATGACCAGCAGCCGCAGGAAGGTCACATTACGTGCCATAACATCGTGCAAGGTCCAAAAATACAATAACCAATCATCAAGAGCTAACAAAGGGGTATACAAGCATTAGGTTGCTACTAACGGGGAATGATCATCACCGAAATTAATACGAGATATCCGCATTCCTCCAGAGTTCGATAGATCACGTAATCGTCTCAGGTAGCCCTTATAAATTATTCGAGATAAACAACTGCATACCTGGACCGGGAACTTTCTGCAACTCTTTGTCACTGGATAAATTCTGGTACAGAGCGATGTGAAGTTGCAGCATTGCAACTTCACATCGAACACGCAGAAGTTTCTTATTCCAAAGGATGACTAAAAGTTTTTTTTTAATATTTGGCGTTCAATTTAAACGATAGAGCGATTGCTCAATGGAAGCCGACCCTGCGCAAAGAACGATATAAAAACACTTCAGCTATTTCGGACAAACTTGCCAGGCCCATCCGCTTACCTCAAGGCTGGGAGCCCCAGGCCCTCTCCGATGGTTTCAGAAGCAGCGACTGCGGACCGGCGCGTCCGCCGATCACCGCGCTCTCACACTCGGCGCTCACCGTTCGGCGGCGGCGCGCGCTCACCCCGCCGGCACTGGTCCCGGACTACCACCGTCCGCCCTGCTGCCGACCCGGCGGCTGACGGGCCCGCCCGCCCCCCGCCCGGGGCGCTCAAATGCCGCCGCCCCCGCCCCCGCCCGGACACCGCCGCCGGCCGCCGGCGCGCATCGCACGCCGTTTCTACGGTTTCCGTGAATCGATCGTGAAAACGGGCCGACACTGGCTCCCTCGGGCCGCTGTCAGCCTCGCACACGCAACAACGCAAAGCCGGGACACACACGCGCGCGAACACCACCGCTGCCGCCGGGCCTTTGCCAGGACTGTCTGAAATGGAGCAACTAAGAGCTTAGTGTAGCAAACCGCATGTCTTGCGGAAGAAAAGAAGTTGTGGGATGCCCACCAATAATAATGTAAAGATTAAGCGTTGTGTCTCTTGATTCCAGCAATGTCAGTTGTCACTCTGCTGTTATCTTCAGTATATTGCCCACTGAAGTAGGTATGTGTTGTGCTGCAGCGGACAGATAATCTGCACAATCCGAAGTCGGTGAAGGTGATGAGATAAATGTATCGCTCATGACAGTGTTATGACAAAATACAATGTGACTTTGGGAAGCCCCTTCGTGACCCTTTCGATTGTAATTCGCAACAAGTGTGACCGAACCTACCAGGTTATGGCCATTGCCGCATAGCGACACATATGAGTATTATTTCAGAGCAATGGCCAAGGTTGTCAAATCACCGAATAGCTTCGGAGAAACGGTAACTGATAAGTGTTAAAAGTGATGGTCTCCAAGCAATCCATTCTTACAATCTGTTAATCTTCCTTCCTTTTCCCCTTATCTCGAGTTGTTATGGATTGAAAACGTGCATAAGACTGTTGTTTCTGAATAAGTGTCCGTAAACGGCGAGGGGCGAAAAGGGCGAAACGGCGTACCGCCCCACCCCGCACAACTCGACCGTGCGTATGCCGACAACAGATAAGAGCGTTCGGGGAGTGTTAACATTTAATAGCCCTAAGCACTCTCAGAACCACAGCAGCAAATTCGTAATGGCCAAAGCCGCAACAACTCAAGTAACCACCGTGTTCATCACTCATTAGGCAACCGCAGTGTGTATGTAATAATTGAATGAGGACTTTACTCCACAAGAAATCGTTCGGGTCGGAGCTTTCGAATTGTATTACAAAGCTTCGTCAGCGTAAGCTCCGACCCGAACGATTTCTTGTGGAGTAAAGTCCTCATTTAATTATTACATTAGCAAACTCCACATCGTGTCCTTTAGCGCAGTGTGTATGGTGTCCGGAGTCCAGATATATTGATCTCCCGAACGGCAGACGCTACAGTCCAATGTGGGGCATATAGGACTTTGTTACAGTCTACCGTACCTACACGGCGGTGAATGAAGTGTCACTACGAGAGGAGCGCCGCTCGCCGGCCGGCCTCTCTGGAATACGAATGTGGACGGCCACCACCAAACACGTTATAAGTCTCGCAGGGGGATAAATATCCGAGGCGAGTCGGCGGTCAGTGGCAACTCTGCCTCCCCCGGAGCCCATGTAACACGGCCTCTGAAGTCTGAATCACCCGTGTATGGGGGGGGGGGGGGGAGAGGAGCACGGCCACCGCTTCAACTTCGGGAGGGTCACAGCGGCACACCACCCGCCGCCGATGGCGGGTCAATGTGTGTCTGTTGAAATGCATGCCGTAGCTGCCGGATAGAAAATGAGTGAGTTAGGTACACTGTCCTCCATTCCTATCGCTGTTAGGGTTGAGCTTAGTTTGACCTGACTTGATGGCGCTTAACCCGCGCCCTGGTGGGGGGGGGGGACTATTTTTTGCCCCCTCCAGACTTTTCGATATATCTCCAGAACCGCTGCGCCGATCGTCACCAAACTTTCAGTACCCTCCCGGACAACAATTTTACACACTGTGGCCAAAAATTTTCCAAAGGCTATAATAGGTTGGCCGGAAATGACGTCAGAGTGACGTCATGTTCCGCCGTTTTCGACCCCAAAAAAGGGTTTCGCGGGAAGAGCTGTCAGGCCTATAGCTTTGCAAATACAGAAAGATGATAGACATAAAAGCTGTAGAATTGACAGGGCTACAAAACTGCTATCTCGGATTTTTGAAATTTTTGGATTTTGCCCCCAAAAATAAAAAAATATTTTTTTTGAATATTATAGCCGAAAATTATCCAAAAAGTTTTTTTTTTAAATTTCGCAAAAACCGGAATATATGTGATAGCCCTTACCGCCTTCTATCCACATACCAAATTTGAGATCGATAACTCTTTTTTGGCGAAGTTATAGCGGAAAAACTGTTCAAAATTGATGGCGTCAAATTCTCAAACTCAATTTTTAGCAATTCTAGACCCTGTAGCGCAAAACAAAGACCACCATTAGACTCCCCGTGACAAGCTGCATCGAATCAATACCCATTTTATGCAAAACTATCAACTTCAAAATTTGACCTTTTTTGACCTGACCTTGACCTGACCTTCACCAGAAAGTGACCTATGCCGTACCTGATAGTCTTATAACCAGCACCATTGAGTTGGAAATAAAAAAAATGGCCATAAAACATGCATCGCACAACCTTAGTACCTAAAGTTGGGTTCATGTGACCTAACCTGTGAGCTGACATGGTGTTGTCAGTGACCTCTAATAGCAACGTATGTACTCGGCAACTGACGCCCTATCGCTGATTCTCGACAAAATGCGTTTTCCTCGGTGTTATAGCGCATTCCCTAGAAGACCCGTGAACGGTGAAACATTTCATCTTTGACCTGACCTGTGACGTCATCGGTGACCCCGAGGTCAATGAAATTTGGTTTCCCTCAACAAATTTGACAGGCCTTTCGAACACCGTTTGAATTTTGCGGATCCGTCAAGTAGTTTCGGAGATACGAGGGGGGGCAAAAATAGCCCCCCCCCCACCAGGTAACGTTATAAACAGACCCCACCAGGGCGGGGGTTAAGGTCTCCTGGAAACAGACTCAGTTTTTCGTCGTAACAGACGCGATGATAAGAATCCCGGGCACGGGAAACTGAAAGCTGTTAGTGTTGCTGCATCGCCGAAAACACGAACATTATCAGACGAGAGAGGTGTGCAAATGATAATCACGACGAACCACTAAAAATCCCTCAAATAATTATTAATTTCGACATATCATTCGTAAAACATTACCAAAATTCCGCTCCGAATCCTCAATGACATTCATTCCCCGCGGTGAAGCGGCGGCCGTTCTCTGCCCGCCGATACTGAGCAGCCGGGACAGCGAACTGGGGGCTCCCGGACGTCGGCCTGTTTTGATTGCGGCCAGCCAGTTGTGAGGCGCGTCCGATCAACAGCGGCGGCGCGCGGACGGTACGGCGACCGTCTCTGGCCACCCTGGCTCCATTCACACAGCGGCCGAGACTGCGCTACATGGATTTCCAAACCCTCTTTGTCAACGTCAAATTCTTTATAACTTGGTTCTTCAATAAATGAAAAAAGCCCGAGCCCAACACTCCCAGCACCCGACACCCAGTGACACACCTCAACCTCCGGCCCTGCCGAGCACAGGTCGCCGCACGGGTGGCCAGTCCGGCCGTACCGATCCCGCCCGCTGCCCGACGGCGACACGGTCCGCTCGTTAGTGGTCCGAGCTCCGTCCCCGGTCATCCGCGCCCGGCCTCAGGCCTCCGCCCCTCCCCTGCCCCAGCGCTAATTAGCACGGCTGGGCCCGTATAGTGGTAGTGACGTGGGAGGAGCAACGTGACGGAGCCGAGTCGGACCTTCCGTCCAGCCACACGCACATCGCTGGCGGATACAGCGGTGCGTGGGAGGGCTCATGGAGGATATTTGTCGACAGGCAATAGGGTAGGCAGGGTGGGGGTCGGTGGTATGCACACACTTCCTAACCAGCAGGGCACTGGCTGGGGGCGATGCCAGCCAGACTACGTAAAAAGCCGCGCAAATCTTGTTGTGCACTGCGGACGTGCGCATGGATAAGTTAAGTGTAGGCACTGATGCTATCGTTCCCAATCGCATGACCACACCCAACCACCTTGCGAGCGCTGCACGTGCGGCTCACTGCACAGTGCACACCTCAGCAGCGCCACCTAGGGTGAGGCGCTCTGCAGGGATGCGCCGCCTGGGCGGGCGAGCCGCCCCACGAAGTGGCAGGCGGACTGGCCGGTCGGTTGGTACCGCACCGTCATGGGGGACCGCGCCCCCGCCCCGGTCCGGACCGCCACCAGGGAGGAGGCCGTCGACATCCACCAGCTCCGGTCTGGCCACTGGGCCCGATCGGAGCAGTACCTCCACCGGATTGGTCGAAGACCTACACCTGAGTGCGCTCAATGCGACGACAAGGAATGCCCTGCGGGCCGCTGCCTAGTCTGCTCTGAAGCAGCGGACACCCCGGCGCACGTGTTGCTGGAATGCCCGTGCCTGTACGGCCCCCGGCTCCGTGCGCTGGGCAACATCATCGGCGCGGCCCACGATGTCCGGCGCGACGACGTGGTGGCGGCCTTGGCCGCCGGATACATGGCCCACAAGAGCCGGTCGGCTACGCTACCGCTCCGGCGGTAGCCGGGGGGTCAAACAACAACAACAACAACAACAGCCGCCCCACGTGATTCGCCAGGACAGTGCGACTCTCAGGGTTCAGACCTTCGACGAACACACCGCACCTTACGACCCTCACAGAGAAATATTAGATAATTTGTTTGATGTATTTAGGTCACCGTCGCAGCAAAATGAAATAGGGTGGTCGTTTATCTCTTTCCTCCGACACGCGGCGCCTGCTTGGGCATCGTCTTGGCCTTGGGCACCTTCATCTTCTGCTTCGGCGCCTTGGTCTGAAAGGAGGCAACATATCCACGCTCAGTCGTACTATTTTTTACTTGTTTGTTGGTGTTTAGGGCACGTCGATAGCGGGGTCATTTAACACCTATTTCTTTTCACAGTTAAATAATCACAGCTCGAGAGCTGATCGCCTTACCCGATTCAAAAATGGCATGGATGCAACCAGAATTTGATAACAGCGATTTCGATTCGTGTCATCGTTGTATGTTCATCGACTTCACGAGTACCCCAACTCCCAAGACATCTCAAAAGGTCAATAAAAA